ATGTCAAATTAAGATCTACAGTTCACATCACAATTTTGGAAAAGCTTACATGAAGTGATGAGAACCAAGTTAAGCTTTAGTACTACCTTTCACACTCAAACCAATTGACGGACCAAGAAGGTAACTAAATGTTGGAAGATATGTTACGAGCATGCACATTGGATTGGTCCACAAGCTAGGAGAAATACCTATCTTTAATTGAATTCGCTTACAATATTAGTAATCAAGAAAGTATTGGTATAACACCTAATAAAGCTTTACATTGAAGAACTTATTAATCACCAATACATTGGGATGACCTAGGCAAAAGGAAATTACTATGGCTAAAATTAATCTAGCGAGATAATCAACATAGTACAACGAATTCGATAAAGAATGAAAACAACACGAGAGCTCGGTAGAAAAGCTACACAAACGTTAGAAGGAAGCAATTGGAATTTGAAGTTGGTGACAAGGTATTTTTGAAAGTGGCTCCAATGAAAGGTGTGATAAGGTTTGGAAGGAAAGGAAAATTAAGTCCGAAGTATATTGGATTATTTAAAATACTATAGAGGATTGGTGACCGAGCATATAGATTAGCATTGCCACCCTCTCTGTCTTTGATTCATGATGTATTTCATGTGTCCATGCTTCAAAAGTATAATGAGGATCCAAGTCACATATTGAGCGAGTGAGCGACTAGACCTCTAGCCCGACATGAGTTACGAAGAAAGGTCAATATAAGTGTTGGATCGACGAGGTCAAACAATTATGCAATAAAGAAATTCCTTTGATAAAATTATTATGGAAAAATCATGATATTCGGGAAGCAACATGGGAGAGAGAGGTAGAGATGCGAGCATGTTATCTCGAGTTGTTTAGCTAAGAATTTTGAGGGTGAAATTTTTATAAGGATGGGATGGTGTAATGGCCCAAACCCGTTATTAAATGAATTAAAATATATTAAAAGTATATAAAAATTATTTCATGGGCTTGGGATAGTTGTTAAAGGGTTGTTAGAATATTCAATGCACTTAAGATAATTTTTCTATACCTAGTAAATATTTTATTGATTTTTCGAGTGAATGAATAGTATCCTTTTATGCGAAATAATTATTTTAAGCATGTTATTTATACATGAAAATTATTTTCTATAGAAATAAGTATATTTTTATGCAAAATAATTAATTTAAGGGCCTCAATATGTATATAAAAATTGTGTGAATGATGAATAAATTATTATGGGAAGTGTTTGAATTTATTAGGGAAAGAAATTAATTTTTAGAAATGTATGGAATAAAATATGCATAGATAGGGACCTAATTGCATAAAATTAAAAATTTAAACTTTTATATTAGATTAGGGATGAACTTGAGGAAGTAAAAATTCGTTAGAAAAGCTTTAAAGGAAGGATCTAAAGGGATCAATTAAATAATTGGAGGGCTTATGGAAGAGTAAAAGTAGGAAAATTTCATAAATTGAGAGACTAAAATTAAACAATTTTGGGAGAGAATTTCTCCTCATTTTGCCACCTCTTAGCCTCCATGATTAGGGAGCATTAATTAAGTTTGACTTAAGGCTTAATGAACGGTTAAGATGAAGTAAAATAGAGGGAGAAAATTAAAAAAAATGGAAGGCTAAGATTAAAATAAATGAAAGGTTGGGATTAAAAGTAAAATTAGCGGTGAAGATTAAACCAAATGAAGGGTTAAGATTAAGTCAAATAATAAAAAAATAATCTACCTAAGCGCACATATAAGTATGGGTCAACAAGATGAGAAAAAAATGTTGAAAAATTACAAAAAACAAGAAAAACTCTTGCAAAATTTTTCTAGAAACTATATCCTCTGCTTGTTAGGAACTCCAAATGATGAAAATAACACCTTTGCAACTTTTTGAATGAAAATGCCCCTTAAATTACCAACAAAAAAATCAATTTTCAAAAAACAAAAAACAATGAAAAATTAATTTTCAAAATTTAAAGAAACTTGAAATCCCTGTAAAATTAGAAAACATAAAAACAAGAAAAACCTAGAAATTACAAAAAATAAAGCTAACTTGGAAATTTAAAAAATGAAAAAACTCTCGGAACCTTTTAATTGGAAGTAAAAAATTGATTTTGTTTTCAAAGACTTATGAGACTGAAAATATATATATATATATATATATATACTCTCCTCACTCGAAAAAAAAAAAAAAAAAAAAACCACTCGTAATTATTATAGTAAGTTCTAGTCTTATGGTAATAAAAGAGCAATATTGGCCCAGTAGTGAATCAAGGAGTTTTGTTTAGTTATTTAGTCTTTTGTATTTAAATTTTGGGAATAGTATTTAAATATTTTTTTCATTAAATTCATCTAACGTATTACGCTGATTTGAGACTCTTTTCACTCTCAAGAACACTTGATGGCAGATTTAGTTTTTAATACACAAATTAGTATAAAGATATTTTTAATAACTAAAATAAAAAAAATAGATAAATAATTTTATTGTGCGGTACAAAACCAAATAAATTTTAATGTATTCCTATAGTAGAGTATATAAAACCTATAGATGAAGAGAAACAGACAGGAGTTCTGGTCTATACAAGCTGAGTGTTTATTGCACCTCATTTAGTGACTCTTCAAATATAGTGGCAGGAGGACCATCTGTCCATCGATCCATCCTAGTGTCCTACAATTACTAGCAACATTAATACCAAAGGACCATCTTACCACACAAACCAATGTACTTTTACATGCGCTTGACATCTTTTTGATACAGGATTAATAGCCTTCTCATAAAAGAAAACTATGATTAATAGCTCTCATAAAAGCTTTTAACCACTTTTTCTCTGTTCGCGTTGTAATGGTCAAAACGACAACTACCCCTTCTTTCTTCTTGCTGATGTTTCTTGGACCATTTGTTATTCCTGCCTACCAAATTATTTTAGGCTAAAAGGGTTAAATCTTCATCAAACTTTTGTCTATTTAAAAATTCGATTTTAAACTTTGAATTTGGGATTTGATCTTTTTTATTTTTTTATAGATTAAATCTATCTTTTAATTTTTTATTTTTTACTCAAAAAATTTATAATTACATAAATAGTCTTATTATGAAAATCATTCAATAAGATTTAGAGTCTTACGTTAAAAAAAAAAAAAATTAGGAACCTTCAAGGTTGTTTTCTATTACTTTTTATTTTTTATATTTTTAATGTTTGAAAAGTAAATAAATAAACTTCTCGATCTTAAAAACTTCTAGTATTTTTTTTAAAAAAAAATTAAAAATAGATTGGATTTTTCTTAACGTATGTGCAAAAAAAATTAATCAAAAATATTAAGAATTAATTTTTTTTAGAGAGGAGAATGATAATTGAAAATCATAAAATGGACTAAATATATAAAAAGAAATAATGTTTTGAAAAGTCAAAATAAAAATTAAAAGTTCAAAACTGATTTTCAAATGAATTAAAATTCAGAACTATAAAAAAACAATAATATAAAACTTCAGAAATATATAAGAACCATTAGATTAGCGGATCCATAATTCCATTCCATATTAAGATCACGATCGAATGGCTCACAATCTTCTTAGATTTTTTCTTCTTATCTAGCATTTCCTATATATTTTGAACCTATACAAATTGTCTTTACTTTTTGACCTTTTTGGAAACATTCTCCAAAATGCCTATGGTTTGTATCAATTCAGCGAATAAACCCCATGTGAGAAACATTTGATCAAATTTTATTTTAGATTTGCAAACTTAATCAATTCAGCCTAAATGGAATAGATTGAATTAAATTGTAAGATGACTACCGATTAAAATTTCCAAATTTTTGTAAGAAAATAACTTTTTTTCTCAAAACAAAAAAAAATAGAAAATGTTTAAGGAATAAAATATAATATTTCTGGAAAATAAATAATAAAAATATTTTAAGAAAAATAAGGTCTAATAAAACATAGTCATTAAAATGAAAAAAATATTTTTTTCAAAATAAAAATAAAAAAACTAAGTGTTTAATAAATGAAACAACGCTAAATCTACAACAAATAAATAAAAATATCAGAAGTGTTAGAGCATTAAAATTTTAGGAAAATATTCCAGTTATAAAAAAATAAATTATTTTAAATGTTTTATAATTTTTATTTCTTATAAATTCTTATTTTGATAAAAAAAAATTACTTCTAAAATTGTATATCAAAATTTTTAAGTTCTAAGAAATTTCGAAAAAAATTATTATTTATTTTAAAAAAAAATTGATGGCCTAGAATTTTTGGACTTTTTCATTTTGAATTTCTTTTATTCCTTAAAAATCTTTTAAAAAAAATTTTCCATAAAAAATCTTTTTTTTAGAAACTTCTTTTTCATAAGCATTTTCAAAAAATCTTTATGGGTTTAAAAAAATTAGCAGTTTTTATTTTTTTTAATTTTTCTAAAAACTTTAATTGGTTACCATACTATTTAATACAATTTTGTCCAATTAATTTGAATTGACTAAAATTTTGCAATATTGGGATAATTTTTTATCAAACCTTTTTAATAGAGTTAACCACTAATTAATCATAAGGTCCGTTGTCCATTCACTCTCTTTAGTAATACAAAGGTGTTCGTTTTCTTTTATTATTATTATTATTATTTGTTAATTATGAAATTCATTATTATTGCTATAAGGATTGATATATATATATTCATTTTGTTTTTATTTTTTGCTTATAAATTTTTGAAACATCTTGCAAAAACTTGTTTGTTTGGGTTTAAAAAAAAATTAAAAAACAAAGTCAACGTATTTTCAAAATTTATTCATAAAAAAAAAATTATAATTTAAAAACCTGATTGAGTTCAAGAAATTTAGAGATTGACCAAGGTCAAGCCTAAGTGTCAGGCCAAAAGACAACTAGAGTCGTCGAAGAACATTTTTCAAGATAACTAAGAGAATCGAGGTCTCGCCAAACCAAGTCTAAGGAACCTAGGGTTCCGGCCTTGAATTTGAATCCGAAGAATTAAGAGTTCACCCTAAGAACCATGATTTGGATTATAGGATTCCCCTCCATGGCAAGGTTCGAGCCGATTACGGTCTTCCAGAGACCAAGACTAGGCCCTATGAAGCTAGCCTAGGATTGGGTTAGGAGAGTTAGGATGTCAGCTCAAGATCAGACTCGATGCTTTATAGGTTTAGCCTAGGATCGAGTCCAGGGCACTCGGGGTTTCGCCAGGTGCAAGATGTTGGGATCTAGAAAAGACTAGGTTTTACGTCCCAAATAATTGATTTGATATTGAGATCCGACTGTCATCGGTTACAAAGCGCCTAAGATACCGATATAAAATCAAGTTCATGGTTACCGTGAGTCGGTCTAGGATCGAGTCTAGTGCCAATGTGCCATGGTTATATAGCCTAAAACTGGATTCGAGGTATTAGAAGTTTGACCGAGGACCACATTTGAGGCGCTAGCTTGAGAAAAGTTTCAAGGCTGCCGAGGGGCAATCCTTGGATGATCTCTAAGCACCTCAAGGTCAAATTGAGACAATCCCAAGGTCGCCGATGATTTAAGGTTGCTGTGGTCCAAGAGCTCGGGATCAGACTGAGGCTAGGTAAGAGATGATTTAGGGCTACCCATAATCGTGTAATATAATCGTTGATGTTGGTTACTTAAGTACGGGAACTAGATTAAGTGTATTTTTTTAAGGGAAAAAAAAAACCAACCAACCAACCAAATAAGTTTTTATTTTTGAAAAAAAAATGATATCAAACAATCCCTAAAAGAATATGATAAAAGAACTATGGTTTATATTTCTACTTTAGGTTATGGATCATAAAAAATATTTTATTTTTATTTTTGTAGATGAAAAAGAATATGTTTCTATTTTAATAAAGCAACAAAAAAAATTTAATATACAAAAGAGCTTTGAATATGTGAGTAAAAAAAAATTATGAATTTAAATTTTAATAAATTATTTTTCATAAATTTTAATAAAAAAGTTAATATTGACAAAAGTTGCAAATCCCGCTAATTTCGCTGCAAAGCAAAATTTTGGCGATCGTTGGCGGCCTGCTCAATGCTCATGACAATCAAAGTCCAATTTGCGAAGCTAAAAAGGTAATGAAAGAGAGGACGGAATGAAGCGAAGCATTGCCAATTAAAGGTACTACGCAGCATAGGAAAACTCAAATGTCCGATTGATGTGATTAATAGAAAACCAAGCATTAATCCCACTGTGCTGCAAAGCTCCAACCATTAATCAATCATTGTAGCTCTTTCCAAATGAAATAGGAGAAAAGTTGGACTTTTTTTCTCTTTTGGATTCATTGTAAGAAAAGACTCCAACATAATTTTGGATTTGGATTCTCTTGTGCTTAAAAGAAAATATGACTAGTAAAGTTCTAAATGTCGCTTTTGATTATAAATTCAATTATCTGAATTAAATAAAAATAAATAAATAATAAAGAGTTAAGTTGGTTATTTCATTTGAATTCAATGATTTCAATCTAATAAACATAATGACTATGATCTTTAAAAATATGAGAGGATTTCAATCCATAATTTCTAGCATTAATAGTATTTCCGAGGTAGTTTTTTTTACATACAATTAAAATTGTGTCTAATTTTATTATGCTTATAAATAAACAGCTTTTGATCTAAAGTAAAATTGTTTAGTGAACAACTTATTATATATATATATATATAAAAAGCTATATTATGTCATAAAAACAAGTAAAAATTGATTATGAAATAAACATGTCTTCTCCTAATAACAAGCTAAAAAGGGTGTTTAACTTATAAACTATTAGGAAGGTCAAACACACCGAACGTTTGACGGGAGAAGATGAGTAAATGGGTAGTTTTGAGCATTACAAACTTGGTACAATAATGTTGCTCCATGTAAGGCAACTGTACAGTTTGATGGTGTTCCAAGAATTACTGTCCACGGCTTCAACCTGCTACAAGGGGCAGTCTAAGTTTGAAACTTGCAGTTAGAGTGGAACCAAAAAAACCACACGAACACAAATTCACATACTCTCTCTCTCTCTCTCTTCACTTATTCACATGCTTTCCAAGAGGCTGTCTTTTAGTGGTTTTTGTCATTCCATTTTATGCAGATCTTGTTGACAGACATGTGAAGAGCAATGGGTTTTCTTTTGGGTCCAATGGGGCGGTGTGCATGTGCCTCTCTCTCTATATATCCCCTCTTTCAACTCAGTAATTAGGTCCTTTCCTCTCTAGCTAAGCTAAGCTAGTTTTTATAGTACTACCATATAAACCAATATACAGTGTGCCTGCCCCAATCATTTCTCGAAAACACCACCAACCCATCATAAAGAGTTCTCCCCATCCACAAAATGTCATATTTCTAAAATGAAACTTCCGATAATACAAACATTTATGCCTTGATTCTCGAAAGAATTGCGTTCCAAGTCTTTTTCGAGTCAAGTAGTTGGCTTAGTTAAAAGTTTTCAGTTAAAATATTGTTGTCCTTTTAACTTCCTGTGAAGTGCTTTTATTACTTGTGAGATTAGAGAGAGAGGAGGGTCCCTTGCTAGGAGGGTGCATGGTTTGGCCTATGTGGCTATTCTATCTATCTCTCTCTCTCTCTCTGCATATGCTTAGTTCAAAGGCCTATATATATGTGTGCATATGCATTCCTCTTGGCTAGCTCAAATTAGATCATTTCCATACCATTAGCAGCTCCCTGTGAAGTGAGGTTGGAGCTGTTATTTTCTTCTTTGGAAACATCAATGGCTGTTTTCTTTGTGGTTCTTGTGGTAGTTGTCTTTTTGTTCTGTATCTCCTCTGCTTTGTTGAGGTGGAATGAGGTAAGATATAGGAAGAAAGGGTTGCCTCCAGGTACTATGGGATGGCCAGTCTTTGGAGAGACCACTGAGTTTCTAAAGCAAGGTCCAAACTTCATGAAAAATCAGAGAGCAAGGTGATGATTGTTTGCATGACTTTTAATTCTTTATGTTGATGATGTTATTCTGTGTCCTCTCTGTTTCTGTCCTCGCTAAGTAGATTGGAAGGAGTGTCCTGTTCATTTGGTGTTTCAACTGTTGATATATTACTTTCAAGTGATTTTTTCTTGGTTTAACCTGTTCACCTCTTTTATTTCTATCCCTGCTTATTTTCTTGTTTATGGTTAGCTGACAATTGCTTCTAAAGTTATCTTTCATTTTTCTTTTTCCATTTCTTTCCATTTCAATCAAAACAAAAGAACAAGGACGTGTACCTTCATTTTCCTTTTGGGTGGCGATTGGTCCCTGCTAACCCACAAAAGATACCTATATAGCTAAGGCCAATCTCTTAATGAATTAAGGCTATTGGTTAGAACAGATGTGGGAGGGTTTTCTTGTAAATTTAACTTCATTATTATTGCCACCAAGTACTACTAAACATAACCTTCTTGAAATTTATCCATCTTAACTGTACTTTTAAGATAGGTTATTTTTAATTAACCTTGTCGCTTAAAATTACAGATATGGGAGTGTTTTCAAATCCCACATTCTGGGTTGTCCTACCATCGTTTCCATGGATCCAGAGCTCAATAAATACATACTAATGAATGAGGCAAAAGGCCTTGTTCCTGGTTACCCTCAGTCCATGCTGGATATCTTAGGCAATTGCAACATCGCAGCAGTTCATGGCTCCACTCACAAGTACATGAGAGGGGCATTGTTATCCCTCATTAGCCCCCCCATGATCAGAGAACAACTTTTGCCAACAATAGATGAGTTCATGAGAACCCACCTCAGCAATTGGGATACCAAAATCATTGACATTCAACAAATGACTAAAGAGGTACCTACCATCCTGCAACATATTACGATATGATGGAGCCCTTGATCTAAGTTGCCCTGGATTAGTAATGTACATTTGTACGTACCATTATTTTATGCAGATGGCGCTTCTCTCTGCACTTAAACAAATTGCCGGCGTTCATTCTAGCTCAATATCTCCAGCATTCATGCCTGAGTTTTTCAAGCTGGTTTTAGGCACCTTGTCATTGCCAATTGACCTTCCTGGCACCAATTATCGCCGCGGAGTCCGGGTAATCAATTTACTAAAAATATAAACATTTCTATGCGTAGCTTCTTCTTCTTTTTTTCTTTATTTCATTCGAGTTTTTCTTGCTGTATCGAGTGTTTCACTATGTTATGCAGGCAAGAAAAAATATCATAAGCATGTTAAGGCAGCTAATAGAAGAGAGGAGGGCATCAAAACCATCCCACCAGGACATGCTTGGTCGACTCATGAGAACTGAAGAAAATAAATACAAATTAACAGATGAAGAAATAATTGATCAAATAATCACAATTTTGTACTCTGGCTACGAAACGGTTTCAACTACTTCGATGATGGCTGTCAAGTATTTGCATGATCACCCAAAAGTTCTTCAGGAACTCAGAGTAAGTCTAGACGAAAGCTAAAAAATAAAATGATAGAAAAAAATTAATAGTTTCAAGTTCTTTTATGTTTTATAACTTTCCTGTGTTGTTGACTTCATGCTTCATCGCATCTTTTGTACAGAAAGAGCATTTGGCAATTAGAGAAAAGAGAAGGCCTGAGGATCCGGTTGATTTAAATGATCTTAAATCGATGCGTTTTACTCGCGCCGTAAGTGAAAATTATAATTAATTCTTGATGCTTATCTACCACATCAGATTTGCTGATACTAAGCTGTTGAACTTAACTTGATCATTTGTTCTGTTTTATCTCATGCTCATGCAGGTGATTTTTGAGACCTCAAGATTGGCTACAATAGTAAACGGGGTTTTGAGGAAGACTACTAAAGAAATGGAACTAAATGGTGAGTATGGAACTAAAAGTGTACAGAATAATGTTTTCTCTGGTTACTGATTCTGTTGTCTTTATGGGCTCAAGAAGCTGTTTCTGCAGCTAGCAGCAGCTATGCTTACAACTTTGTTAATAAAAATAATAATGTAAAAGATGTCATGAGAATAAGATCATCTCCCTTTTGTGGGCCTTACAACTATTGTGATTTACATGGCATACCTACCAATCCAGCTAGGCCTTTCTCTTTGTGACCCAAAATCATGTTTAAATTATTTTTGACAAGAAAGGGAGCTTCTTTATGAACGGAATTCTTTCACCTTTTCATATGTGAAACTGAATCATTTTTAACAGAGGAGGAAACTTTTTTGTTTTTTTGTATACCGTTTGTGCTGGTGGCCTTGCTTAAATATTAATGTTGATCAAGAATGAAAAACCTTGGGTCCTAAATTTGTTATTTGCTTATCAAACTCAATGTGAATATCTTTTCTCTTTGTTACTTTCAGGATTTGTAATTCCAGAAGGATGGAGAATCTATGTTTACACACGAGAGATAAACTACGATCCATATTTATATCCTGACCCACTATCCTTCAACCCATGGAGATGGCTGGTAAGTGATTATTAAATTGAATTTTTTTTTATTTATTTTTCCGATGATAAAGTGCTCTAAGATGTTTAGAACGAAAAAAAAAAAAAATCAACAATTCACCTTTACAGGGACTAGATTAGTTGTGTTTGCTAAATGCAGGACAAAAGTTTGGAGTCTCAAAACTATCTTTTCATTTTTGGAGGAGGTACTAGGCAGTGTCCAGGAAAGGAGCTAGGAATAGCTGAAATTTCAACTTTCCTTCATTATTTTGTAACTAGATACAGGTAACTACAAAAACCCAATATATATATATATATATATATATATATATAATCAATTCTTTAGCAGGAAAAACGATCTTAATGGGCTGATATGTCTGTATTGTTTTTTACTTGCAGATGGGAAGAGGTTGGAGGAGACACGCTAATGAAATTTCCAAGAGTTGAAGCACCAAATGGGCTACGCATTAGGGTCTCATCTCACTAACTAATTAGTAAACTATGCATGTACAGAAGAGAGATATAGCATATAATGAACTGATGCTGATGTAAAATGATGTTCTAACAGATTAGAAAGTGATGACATCGAGCTAGATTTTTTCCATTTTTGGCTATATATAATATTCCTTTTCATTTTCCATTTCCCTTTTTCTCCCAGCTTCTTCTATCTTGTGATGGGATACAAACATCATAAGACTAATCAAGAAATGCCATAATACTGTCTTGTAAAAGGAAAGAAAAAAAAATGCAATGCCGACATTATCCAACTAGAAAATTAAACTCCATCTTCCAGCAATGTGTAAATAATGTGCTATGCTATCATCTTTTTAAAGGGAGAAAAAGGGGAAAAATAAAGCAAGGAGCTTGAGAGAATTGCCTGTTGAAACGAAGGACATGAGATGGGGTGTAGGCCCTCTTTTATCAGGGTCTAGTACAACAGCCCAAAAAGACAAGAGAATGGAAGAAAAACTCGGCTCGATTAATGTCTGAGTTCTGAACATTTAAAGTCATCTAAGGCCTTGAAATAAAACGATAGCTTCGTATACGTGCTTGCCCAAAAGAGATGGAAGCTCTTGCAACTAGTTAGCTCCTCTCGATATGTTTCACTGGCTGGTAATGAAGATTTTGGGCAACACTTTTTCTCACAATTCCTCTCTTCCCTAAAGTGAGTGAAATTTAATTTTGGGTCATTCAATATCGTTCTAGATGACTCTGCCGGCTGGTTAAGTTTTAACTGAAAAATTAAGCTAGAAGACTTGGTTAAGAATCAAATAGTAGTTTGATCAAATCGCCAATGAGACCTCCTATCCGTTAATATACGGAATCTTCTTTTAGAGGTTTCATGTTCAAATCCTGGGAGAAATATTGTAGGATTGTAGAAGTTTATAGATTGAGAAAAAGACTGCTTTCTATTGTGTAGTTCAAGACCAGTTGCACCTTGAAAAAGAAGAAGCTGTAACTTTTCAACAAGCCGTTTCGGTCTTGTCCATGTGTGAAAGGGTAAAATTTTGGGTCCATAAAACCACGGTAAGTCATTCTGTTATATTTGCATGATTTTATGGGCTTGAAATGTCCAAAGGATGGATGGGCTTTTTAATTCATTGGACAGGTCTGAGCAGTCTGCAATATGCACAGCCAATAATTTACATGTATTTTCAATTTTATTTTTTCTTAGATTAATGATCAACCCTCTTCATATTTTAATTTTAACAACCATATCCTTATTAATTACTAGTCTGTGAACAACCTTTAATGAAATTAAGAATTCGAATTGCATATATTTACATCGTATGTATATTTAACGATTCTTTGAACTTTGTATTTTATAGGGAAAAAAAAAAAGGGGGTTGGGTTGACAGTTTTGTTTAGTGACTTTCCTACAGTCTAATTAACTTTCTTATTATTGTTTTAAAATAAATTTCAAGAGTGCAGAAACAAATTAAAATTTAAAAATCAAGAAATTCAAGGACCCTTCGAATAAAATTGAGAAGTCCATCATTGAATATTCAAACCTACTACGCTGCAAGATGGTGAAGTTTTGGTATATGTCAGCATCTAGGCCTACTACACTGGAAGTGGGCTTGACCATTTAGTTGGGGGCTGCCGATTCTAGCCAACTGGTATCAGAAATTTTGGGCAGTTCTACGTGCAATTGTGCCAACCATAGCGCGTAGGCTGTAGCAAGGTCAAACACGAGTTCTAAATTCCTTCTTTAATGAGTGGAAATTTTTGAATAGGATGATGCCGGAATTTTCATTGAAATAGGTAGACTGGGCTTTGTGAAGAATTTTAGACTTGAAGTTGCAACATAAAGGTATGAACCCCCCATGTAGTGCTATAGCCTTCTTGAAATCTATCGTTCCATAAATGTGAGGCTGACCACCACAACTGGAGAAATTTAATCCGAATTCTCAACCCCATAATTTTGGATTGTTACCAATAAATTTTCAGGACAGCAATTTCAGATGACAAATTTAATATACAAAAAAGTTATATTCACAACATCCCGAAAATTCTTTATGTATTATTTTTTGAATTAGACAATATAACCCAGAATCCAAAACAAAGGAGTTGTACTAACATTTTTTTACCCCTTGTTTGTCATAACAGAAGACAAGCTTATTCTGTAACAGAGCCCGACGAGATGCTGGAATAGGCTGTGCCCCCAACACCCTGCCCCTATACATATATATATATATATATATATATAGAAATAACTGCTCTTTAAATAAATAAGAAAAATCCTAATTATTTATTTATTTATGAATGACTGTTAACAAAAATACTAATGATACTTGTAAATTTATTTAATATATATATATATATATATATATATATATATATATATGCATGGATTTAACGAAATAAAAAATATTGCACTTAAGATAACAATTGAAATCGACAAGATTCTGAGTTGTAAAAATGTCAAATCAATTCAAAATTATGCCAATAATCGGCGCAATCAAAAAATATTTATACTTATGATGAAAAATAGATTATTGAAAATTTTGACAGTGATTATAAAATTAATGAGTTTCGCAAAATTTCTTTCAAGTAAAATTAAAAAAAAAATTGCAGTGAAAATTGAATTGATAAAACACTGAAAGTGGTTGTAGGTAAAATTTTAAAAAATAGCGTCACTCGCTTATCAAATTAAGAATTTAATTTTCATTTTTTCTTTTCCTCTTTATGTGGTGTGGTATTAAACATTCAGTCTCAAAAAGTTTTAAAATGGATTAAAAACCAGACATGATTTGACGTTATAAAGCTTAATTGGATAGAAACTGGAGAAATTAAAGAGGTAACGTAGGATACTGCAGAATCAAATGCGCAAATGACGACGTGCTTAACTCAAAATTAAATTAAATTTTGCTAATGATGAAAGCAACAAAAAAAAAAAAAAAGAGAACCTGAGTTTTCCATACACATGCAATGCAGCTTTGGGATGCCACATCTCCCAACTCTTTTCCTCCTCTGGCATTCACTACTTATCAAATATCAAAAGTACCGCTGCTTCTCTTCTCTGTCGGCGCCTGTCCCTACCTTTCCCTTTGTTTTGTTTTTTTCCCCCATCCATTTATTACTTTGTCTGGAATTAGTTCTTGAAATTTTTTTATTTTTTTGGTATTCCAACTTTTTATGGACCTAATTGTAATAAAAAATTGTTTGATGCTTAATTTGAAATTTATTAATGGCTACAAATCTGAAAATCGTGACGTATATATATATGATAAAAGAAAAAACAAACAAACCAATAAACAGTTTTGTCTTTTTTTAAAAAAAAAAAAAAGAAAGAAAGAAAGAAAGAAAGAAAAGTGAGTTGAACCAGACTGATATGCTGGTTTGATTGGTGCTATAAGATTTATTAGATCTTGACTTGAAGACTTGAAAGGTTCTGAACCTTACAAAAGTTGGACATATATATTTTCTACTTTTTGTTTTATTGCAAGTGTTGATGAAGTAAATAATTACGTATTTATAATCTTTATTTCCAGATACCAAGATATAATGCAATTGGAAGTAAATTGTAAATTAGTCTTTCATTATTTAATTATTGTTATTTTTAAATTAATTATTTAATCAACGTCAATTTTGTTTAACTTAATGTTATTTTTATTTTAAAAAAACTGTTGTTTTTTATTTATTTTTTCAATTTATTAAAATTAAAATAAAAATAAATTGAAAAAAAGGACTAAGTGACCAAATATATATATATATGAAAAGAGCATGAGTTGAAAATGAAAATATTCTTAATTTCTTGTATCCTTATGTGTAAATAATCAATACGTCAGAATGCTCAAACGGAATACAATTTCTTGTATCCTATGAGTGTATGGCTCATTCCGCAAGTACACGATTTTTTAAGTTGGAATTGTAGCCAACTGTTTTTTTTTTAACAAGTTGGATTATTTGGGGAAAAAAAGTTCATGTAGGGTTTAATTTTGTTTGTAGCTAAGTAATCTTATGACTCATTCAATAAGTAAAAAGATATTTTGATTGTGCTATAAAAATATTATCGCATTAGTTTTAAAAAAAACCAGTCTAAATGTGCTTATTATTCATGTCATTCGAATTTTGCTTTGGATATTTTTATTTTGAATTTTATTTTTTCATCTAAATATACTTAATCAATGATGACTACTGTAGATGAATGATCTTCGATAATCTTATAAAACTTTTTTTTTTTAATAAGAATTTAAGAAACAAAAAGTGAAAAACAATAAACCCAACAAACTAAGCTTAAAAGATTAAAATGGAAAATAGAAAGCATAAAATGAAAGTGACACCAAAACAATATTACAATACTAATTAAGTTTGAAGTAAAATCTAGTTAATTTGTTTTTTTTTTTTTTTTTTTATGTCATCTAACAAAACTACAGTGATTTAATTTATTTATTAGCATGCCACCAATATAACTAAATATTTTTTATACCACTGAAGGGTGTAGTACAACGATAACCTTTTTTGGATTTACATGGGTATCCAGTACCAGCTTTCGCGTCAACCGACTAATCCCATGGGCCCCGACATGATCGACTAGTTAAGATGGCAATGGCCACCTCATGTGGGAGGCGGCGCTCGAACCCGAGACCACGGAGAGAGCAAACCCCTTGGCCCTAAGCGTTGGCCATTGCGCCACACCCGGTGGTTTAGTATAACGATAACTCTTTTAGATTGTATTGAGTTCATCAAAATTAAAGTTCAATTTTTACTATACATGGATAATTATTAGTCATAATTTGAGTTTATTCGAGTCTAAAAGAGATTAGTGGTCGATCAAAAGCTAAACATATTATAGCGTTAATCGAGCCAAAAAGATAATAAATATAATATCGATTGATGTAAAAACTAATTCGAGAATATATATATTCTTTACCTGTATTGCTATTGATAAAGCTTCCGAGCTTGAAAATGGATTTGAAATAGGACTTGAAATAACAGGCATTTGGAAGTGGGGGGTGAACAGGGATTCATGTAACGGGGTAGAAAATCAAACATTTATCAATCAAAAAGCAACTTATTTTTAAGAGTAAGTTTCTAAATTTCTTGGTCCAAGGAAGAAATAACTCCAAATAAATGAGGAGGTTTTCAAGAAAAAAAAAAACAGTCTTAAAATTAATAGGATAAGGAGATGCATGTGCTTTGTTCTGTTACTAAAAACTCAGGTAAAGTGCATTCATAGATTATTAATGCAATGCTAAAAGCAAGCAACATTTCTTTTTCTTTTTTGTAACTTCAAGTCAAGTCAATTTATATGTGCACTTAATTTTTTTGGGGTTATTTTAATTATGGATCCGGTTTTCACTGCACTTGTTAACAATTAATTAATTTTTCTAACTTCTTTTTTTATTTATGATAGAGTTTATTATAAACAATTAATCCTTCCCATTCAAATAATATATGTCACAAAATATTTGTTAGATCAAATTTTTAAATGGTGTTTTTTTCTTAAAATAATCTTAATTAAAATCCATTTTGATGACTAATAATTTTTTAAAAAAATTATGAAATGAAAATACTAACATGTCATAATAATTAATAATTTTTTTAATATGTGAAAAAAATTAAAATTTTGTGAGAAGAGAAAACACAGTTTTTGATAAGGTTATATATATATATATATATATATATATATAAGTTCAATGAAGAATATAAATTACACTTTTAATTAAATACATATTTTATTGCATTCATAAGGGAAAGTTAATCAAAATGGGAAAAGCGTTTAATTAAATACATATTTTATTGCGCTCATAATGGAAAGTCCATAAAAATGGAAAATAATAAATGTTTTTAAAATATGTTTGACCTTTTGCCTTTAGTTATAAGAAATTTGTTGGAAAAAGAAATATAATTATATAATTTTTAAATTAGTGATTCCCGTACTTCATGCTTGCTGTGCTTTTTATGGGAAAAAAAATTCTATAGTTAGTAATAAATCGAACATCCTCTTCCTCATCAAACTAAATCTGATTTTTTTTTTATAAAAAAAAATGGAAATATCCCCAATTGTACAAGGCAGCGTATCTTAACAATCCCTCCACATATACATATGGACAGTTTACGAATAAATAAATCAAATACATATCATTATAAAAAAAATAAAGAAAAATGCATGCCATTTTCACGTTTAATCTAAAACTTACCAAAAATACACCAAAATCACTCCGTTAAAAAAATTCAAATTTCAAAACACCCTGCCCCAGGCCAGCCCCAATAGGCAATAATACCTTCACCAAAGATCGAGACCATCAAATTCCACTGGTCCAACACATGTAACGACCCCACATGGCAGTGTTGTTTCAAAATGGTACAAAAACCTTTTTGAAAAGTTACCTTCTCCGTGGTCAAAGAAGGAAGGAAAAACGAAGCAACAATCCATTTCAATTCCATGAACTATACAAACTAGTTAACAACCGACGACACAACAACTTCTTACCATTCCTTCCATGCTTTCACAGATCAAGAAGATTAAATTATCTCATAGTCTCTTAAATTTTAAAAATTTGCTAAATCACTCTTGGTATTTTAATTTTGAGTATAACAATCATTATGTTATGATCAATTTATGCTAATTTGGAGTTTTTTTATACTATTATTTTTTATCATATGTTACGATATGTTGTTACCGGTATGTATTTAAGTGGATGAAAAGACTACATGTCAATAGTTGAAGTAGAGGAGTGATTTAACAAAGTTCTGAAACTTGAAGGATCATAGAATGAATTAACCTATTTTATGACAGCAAATCACCTCATAAAGTCAAAATAGAGAGGCTGCCTCCCCTGCAACTTCGTCTCTGTTTTTGAACAGGCTCTCTCTCGTTCCACCCTTCAATCTTCGGACGCGTCTCCTACTTCCCCTCCAGTTCTGCCACTATTCTCGGCCTTGCACGTGCCAACCCACACCTCTCCTTATATATATACGCACGCTTCTCAATTCTTTCCATATATATTTTTCTACTGACATCCCTTCTCTACACACTATCTCTCTCTCTCCCCTCTTTCGGATTTTTCTTAGCAACAATGGTTGAGCCTGCAACTGATACCAAATCAGCAGCAAAGGTTGTGCCTTTGTTGAAAGATGAGCTTGACATTGTTATACCAACTATAAGGAACTTGGATTTCTTGGAGATGTGGAGGCCTTTCTTTGAGCCATACCATCTTATCATTGTTCAAGATGGTGATCCGTCTAAGACTATTAAGGTCCCTGAGGGTTTTGATTACGAGCTTTATAATAGGAATGATATTAACAGGATTCTTGGTCCTAAGGCCTCGTGTATCTCTTTCAAGGACTCTGCTTGTCGTTGCTTTGGTTACATGGTTTCTAAGAAGAAGTATATCTTCACTATTGATGATGATTGCTTTGTAAGTTCTTTTGATCTATGCTTTCTCTTTTTAAATTTTGTGTAATTCTGCATCTGGGGTTTTTGATTTTTGGCCAAAGTTTAGATCTGTATGGTTTGTCGTTGATTAGAGATGGATTTGATCTTTTGTTTGCGTGATTTGGGTATTGTTGATTTAGATCTGTTTGTGTTATGTGTGTTCATAAATCGGTATACCAATTCTGTAACTGTTGCATGTTTTCGTTCTGCTAAGCTTCTCTGTAAGTAGATTTTTGTAATTTTTTGTTCTCATTATTTTATTGAGCGACGTACATTGGCATAATCAAGTTTAAATCCTCTTCATAAAATTTGATTTGGCACATTCACAGATTTGTGATTTTTAAGTCTTACATAATTGTACTAGCAGATCAAATCCAATTTTGCTGGACCTTTAGCGCTGTGAATTTTGTTTATGATTTTATTTTTGCACTTTATTTATGCTCCCTTTCATTCTGATAGTGGCATTTGTGAAATTGGGGTTTTTTGTTTAGATTGTTTTCATGCTTCAGACTTTTCCAGTCTAATGAACGAAATGGTCTCCGTCTGATCTGTTTCTATGACCTACCATATTGGATTTGAAGTTATGATATTAATTCTCACCAGACATTTTGACATGTTCTTACTCTTATAATTAGAGATCTGATTATTTTTTAGCTTTGTGTCGTTTATGACACTTTCCTATCAGTTTGGATTTGTTATACAAATTCAAGCAAGCGGCCCATGGAAAGCAAAAGCAATGTTTTCAACTTTGCACAAAGAGGCGTCATGGTGATATGCCATGTGTAATTGATGAATAATTGGTCTCAAATCGCAATGGACACCTGTGAATTCCGATCTGGTCTAGGTTTGAATTGTCTGTGATTTCACATCTTCTTATTAATTAATAATTAAATGAATTGGTGGGCCCTTGTTTGGAATAAACTAAAAGGTAATGCATTGGATTTGAAAGATATTGCACCACCTGCCCAATTAAAAAAAATAGCTGAATGTGCTTTAATGATGCTATGAAGGTGGCTAATATTCTTTAAAAATAACAGATTTTTTCTTTTTTCTCGCCATGTTTTGTGCATCATTTTATATTCTCAACTATACACCAAAAAAGGTAATAGATATATGTTTAACCGTTATCAATGTGGTTAGGTTGCTAAGGACCCATCTGGCAAAGCTATCAATGCACTTGAGCAGCACATCAAGAACATCCTCTCACCATCAACTCCATTTTTCTTCAATACCCTCTATGATCCTTACAGAGACGGTGCAGATTTTGTGCGTGGATACCCCTTCAGTCTTCGTGAGGGTGTCCCTACTGCTGTTTCCCATGGCCTCTGGCTCAACATTCCTGATTATGATGCACCTACTCAGCTTGTTAAGCCTCTTGAGAGGAACACTAGGTATATGATCCGTCGATTAGTTAGAACACTTAATTTGGCCCCTTGTATGCCTTCTGTCTAATTATCTTCTAATACTGTGCATATGTTTTGTTAGATATGTGGATGCTGTTTTGACCATTCCAAAGGGCACCTTGTTCCCAATGTGTGGTATGAATTTGTGTTTTGACCGTGACTTGATTGGACCTGCAATGTACTTTGGTCTCATGGGTGATGGCCAACCAATCGGTCGCTACGACGATATGTGGGCTGGCTGGTGCACCAAGGTATACATGAGCATCTGTTTTGTTGATTCCATTTTACTAGCTGGACATGGGATGTATATTACAGCCTGTTACAGGGATGATTTAATTGGTGAATCGTTTTCAGGTTATCTGTGATCATTTGGGACTAGGAGTGAAGACAGGTTTGCCATATATCTATCACAGCAAGGCTAGCAACCCGTTTGTGAACCTCAAGAAGGAGTACAAGGGCATCTTCTGGCAGGAAGAGATCATTCCCTTCTTCCAAGCTGCCACTCTTCCGAAAGACTGCACCACTGTTCAAAAGTGCTACATTGAACTGTCCAAGCAGGTGAAGGAAAAGCTTGGGAAGGTTGATCCTTACTTTGATAAGCTTGCTGATGCCATGGTTACTTGGATTGATGCCTGGGATGAGCTTAACCCCTCCGGAGCTTCTGCTAAAGTTTCCAATGGCCAAGCTTAATTGAAATTTTGATTAGGTACTTAAAGCCAGGCAGAGGGAATAATTTACACATTTGAAGTCATTGTATTTTTAATTCTGACCAGCGTGGTCGTCGATACTTATTTTCGGATTGGTGCATGTAATTTTTTTTAGTAATTTATTTTTCTTGTTGAGCCTCACAGGAGTAAAATACAGTTTAGCGATAAATTATGCATCTTGGATTTGGCCAAATTTCAGATGATTATTACAGTAACCATTTACCGGTTAGTTATTGAGAAACAAAATGTAAATGGGGCAGGCTTCCTGTTTTTAATACCTTTCGTCTATCCATCAAGAATTTATATTCAATTTTCCAGTGTTATCTTTTGTATTCGGCGTCAATGGTGGGGGAATTAATTTTTTTAGATTCTTTTATATATTTATTTTTTAATATTAATTACGTTTAATTTTATATTATTTTTTTATATTATCTTTTATTTCGTCCCTTTTTTCCATAATAGATATATTATTATTACCTCATCTACTTTTTAAAACAACAAAATAAAATAAATTAGAAAAAATATATATATAGATAAAAAAGACTAAATTATTATTTTTTAAAACAAGAAAAATAAATAATTTATTTTTTAAAACTAAAATGACTAATTTATAATTTACTCCTAGGATGTACTAGCGATGGTACTGGTTTAAGAAGTCAAAACAAAAATTAGACCAGAATAAAAACAAGTCCAGCAAATACTAGGGATAGGTGCGAGTCCACGGAATGCTTTTCTAAGCATGACAGGTTAAACTTCCCAAGCAAGCAAGACTTTGTCAAATGATGTCCGGTTTCAGTCTCGTCACACGAATAAGCGTCAACTTATTTTGATTTTTGTTTTTTTTTTTATAGGGTCAATTACCGGGAATTATAAATGCTGAAATTCACAAAACAAAAGTCCATGATAGATGAAATGAAACCGTGGAGTTATTTCTTTCACGCGTCATGAGGCACCCAGCACCTTGAATCCTTGATGATCTGTACAGTGTTTTTTTTTTTGGTAGAGTTAAAAAGAAAAAAAAATCTGAATTGTCGCAGAGGATTAACAACTGCAGAAGAATTTATAATGTAATAAATAACATCTTGCATCACACTCAATTGGCACAAGATTTCTATGAAACAGAAACACAAGAATGCTTCCAGATTCACCACGAAGCTGCTCAACTTCAACGGCGACTGAGAAATAGTCAGCTATGGCGTGCAAAACCTCCTACTGAGCAGATAACGAATTTTGATTATGCCAGAGTGAAACCTGACGGCTGCTGTAGCCTCAAGGGGCTTAATACTTAAGTGCTTGTAGGATCACTGGTATCCCCTGTTTTTGGACGTTTGGCTTTAGGCTCTTCACCATTTTCATGGTTAAGATGTCCATTCACTGCCTCTGGACCCAAAAGAGAAATGTGTTTGCTGGTAATTTGGCGACCTGCCCTTAGTTTTGGTCCCCAATGTCTTTCAGGATTCGGAAGGAAGCGTGCAACCTTCTTGGCTTGTGCCTTGCTAAGAGATGCAACAGCTCGGGCAAAGTTTGCCTGGTCAAGAAGACACAAAAAAAGGTAAGAGAACTCAGCCACACGACTTTCACCCACAACAAACACAAAACACATGTACTGCAGATTCAAAGTACAAATGGAGGTAATGTGTTGAAGCATTGGTCTAACATGGAATTAATAACTTGATTTACAAGGAAAAAGAAATTTATGATCTACAACTTGGAAAGCAAACGTACTTGAAGGACTGGTTCTTTAGCCAGTATAACACTTCCTGGCTGATCAGGCGCTTGAGCTTTCACAGGATGATTTTTCACCTACATGAAAATACATGACTCATCAATTCAAGGACGCTTTCAATCAGGAACAAGCTGCCATTGTTTACATGTAAATCAAATCCATTTTCGCAAAACTTCAAACAAGAGGACACAGCTCTAATAGTCACTTTAAAAAGATTATATCCAAGACATTAAGGAAAATAGAAAAACAGAACAAAAGAAAAAAGAAAGAGAAAACCGCAGCAATCTCAAAGGAAGACTTCTTCAATCTGTTTTAACTTCACAAATCTAGAAGGAATGGAAAAGCCTTTTTAGAAAAAACAGAAAACCCACATGCTAACTCTCATTTTGTTATTTGCATTTAAGAAAAAAAGGGGGAGTGAGAAAGAGAGAACCGCACACATGCAATTGTATGGCGAGGTACTAGTAAAACACCTTTCAAAAGATCAAAGGTGCTATCAGCGAACTCCCATTTTGTTATTTGCCTCCCATGAATCAGATAGTCATAGAAAAAAAAAAAACTACCTGGGATTATGAAGGCAAAGCAAGAAGATAGAAAAACTTTGAACACCGCTCCTTATGTCCCAAAGAAGAAAGAAAAAATCCAGGAAGCTTGAACAAATTGTTAATTGTTCAACTGTTTTACATTATGCATTGGAAAAAAAGTAGGAAAACATTTTTTCTTATATATAAAAAAGAGAACTGCGCACACACATATGTATGGTGAAGTACTAGTAAAACGCCTTTCTAAGACCAAAAGGTGATATCAGCGAATTCCCATTTTGTTTTTTGCCTTCCATGAATCAGATAATCACAAAAACAACATTATCTGGGATTATGAAAGCAAAAAATTATGCATTGGGAAAAATAAGAAAAACTTTTCTTCTTATATATAAAAAAGAGAACTGCACACACGCATATGTATGGTGAAGTACTAGTAAAACACCTTTCTAAGACCAAAAGGTGCTATCAGCGAATTCCCATTTTGTTTTCTGCCTCCCATGAATCAGATAATCACAAAAACAACATTATCTGGGATTATGAAGGCAAAAAATTATGCATTGGGAAAAATAGGAAAAGCTTTTCTTATATGTAAAAAGGAGAACTGCACACATGCATATGTATGGTGAAGTACTAGTAAAACACCTTTCTAAGACCAAAAGGTGCTATCAGCGAATTCCCATTTTGTTTTCTGCCTTCCATGAATCAGATAATCACAAAAACAACATTATCTGGGATTATGAAGGCAAAAAATTATGCATTGGGAAAAATAAGAAAACCTTTTCTTCTTACATATAAAAAGAGAACTGCACACACGCATATGTATGGTGAAGTACTAGTAAAACACCTTTCTAAGACCAAAAGGTGCTATCAGCGAATTCCCATTTTGTTTTCTGCCTCCCATGAATCAGATAATCACAAAAACAACATTATCTGGGATTATGAAGGCAAAAAATTATGCATTGGGAAAAATAGGAAAAGCTTTTCTTATATGTAAAAAGGAGAACTGCACACATGCATATGTATGGTGAAGTACTAGTAAAACACCTTTCTAAGACCAAAAGGTGCTATCAGCGAATTCCCATTTTGTTTTCTGCCTTCCATGAATCAGATAATCACAAAAACAACATTATCTGGGATTATGAAGGCAAAAAATTATGCATTGGGAAAAATAAGAAAACCTTTTCTTCTTACATATAAAAAAGAGAACTGCACACACGCATATGTATGGTGAAGTACTAGTAAAACACCTTTCTAAGACCAAAAGGTGCTATCAGCGAATTCCCATTTTGTTTTCTGCCTCCCATGAATCAGATAATCACAAAAACAACATTATCTGGGATTATGAAGGCAAAAAATTATGCATTGGGAAAAATAGGAAAAGCTTTTCTTATATGTAAAAAGGAGAACTGCACACATGCATATGTATGGTGAAGTACTAGTAAAACACCTTTCTAAGACCAAAAGGTGCTATCAGCGAATTCCCATTTTGTTTTCTGCCTTCCATGAATCAGATAATCACAAAAACAACATTATCTGGGATTATGAAGGCAAAAAATTATGCATTGGGAAAAATAAGAAAACCTTTTCTTCTTACATATAAAAAAGAGAACTGCACACACGCATATGTATGGTGAAGTACTAGTAAAACACCTTTCTAAGACCAAAAGGTGCTATCAGCGAATTCCCATTTTGTTTTCTGCCTCCCATGAATCAGATAATCACAAAAACAACATTATCTGGGATTATGAAGGCAAAAAATTATGCATTGGGAAAAATAGGAAAAGCTTTTCTTATATATAAAAAGGAGAACTGCACACATGCATATGTATGGTGAAGTACTAGTAAAACACCTTTCTAAGACCAAAAGGTGCTATCAGCGAATTCCCCTTTTGTTTTTTGCCTCCCATGAATCAGATAATCACAAAAACAACCTTATCTGGGATTACGAAGGCAAAACAAGAAGTAAATAAAAACTTGGACGAGAGTCGTTATCCAGTATCATATTATGTCCCAAAGAAGGAGAAAAATTACAGGAAGCTCAAATAAATTGCTGCCATCTTCAATCTATTTTAATTCAATGCATCAGGAAGGAAAGGAAAACATTTTTGCTTCCTTAAAAATACAAAATAAAACCCACACACATGCACATGTATGGTGAGGTACTAGTAAAACACATTTCTACAAAAGGTGCTATCAGCGAACTACCATTTTGTTATTTGCCTCCCATGAATCAGATAATCATAGAAAACAACACTATCTGGGATTATGAAGGCAACACAGGAACCAAAGGAAAACCTCAGATATGAGTCCTTAACTACCATCTTATTATTTCCCAAAGAGGAGGAAAAATCAAGGAAGTTCAAATCAATTGCTATTTCCTCAATCTATTTGAACTTTATGCAGAAAGAAAGGAAACCTTTTTTTTTTTTTGGGAAAAAGAAAAACACACAAACAGACATGTATGGTGAGGTATTAGTAAAACACCCTTTCTAAGACCAAAGGTGCTATCAGCGAACTCCCACTTTGTTATTTGCCTCCCATGATTCAGAAAATCACAACAAAGAAAAAACAACCTTATCTGGGATTATGAAGGCAGAGCAGGAAGAAAAACCTTAGACATTAGTCTTACCCAGCATCTCATTATGTCCCAGATGACATCCATGGGGGCATCTGATTTTAGCCCCAGGGGATTCACGTGCGTCCCAGATATACGATATCCTGCATTGATCACAGCAGAACGGAAAATCACTGCCGATGGCGAGGTGCATTTCAGTGTTGCGCATAGGTTGTGCAGACTCAAAAAGAGAGGAACATCAGGCAATTCCTGTAAACAGTAAAGTATGAAAGTCAACGTGTAACACTATAAAATGAAGCAAACATTTTTTTCCCTCTTTTTTCTTTTATGAAAGAGTAACATTACAACATTATATATGACATAATGCAGCACACTGAACTGCTAGAGGAATACAAACACCAATAATCATTTTTACCAAAAAGCATCAGGCATAAGGCATCAGTCAAGAAGCTGAAGTACAAAAATGTATCTTAAAAAGATACATTCCCAATTCTTTGTTGCATTAAAAGGAATAAAATCAAACTGATACATTCCAGCATCAAATTCCCAGCAGCACTGAAATTTTTTAACAGTTCAAACCTTTGCTTAATACTAGCAAAGACACAGAAAAGCTGAAGAAAACTGACACAAGGCTGAAAAAGAAGCACAAGAACTTACCTCGGATATTGTTGTTAGTACAGCAGAGATGCGGTCGTAAGCAGGATACCGGTCCTTCATTGATTTCACACCTTCTAGTATGGAAGTCACCCATTCTTGATCATGAATGGAAGCAGACCATATAGGTCCACCCATGTTGTATTTCTTCCCACAATCACTGCATTCTTGGGGAACAACAGGACCAAACCCAGGTAGATATCTTACACTGCTACCCTGAAAAGTGAAACCAAATGATATATTTATCAAGTCACTGCACAATTTGATGTTGAACAATATAAAGTTGCTTATCCAGAAAAGGCAAGACAATTTGAAATTTTCTTCCCTCAACAAATTAAGGTCAGTTATGAGTAAAGAAGTCAAGATATTTTACAGCCAAGAGAATTTGATACAAACCCACAGGCAAATCTCATTCCATTTTAACTGGGTGGGTATATGCAGCATAAACACCTTTCTCATATTTTAAAATTTTAATTTTCAAGTCCAGCAATTTGCATTCATGTTTCAAATGCTTCAAACTTAATTAGATTTCACCAACATAGTTCGTCAGATTGGAATGGCATTAAAGGAATTGTTCAAACTTTGCCAGCCTGTGAGCTCACTACCAAATTGGGCCATGTAACGTTGGAATGCTCTCCTCACTTAAAATAAACTTTTCCTAAACCACTCCTGGCCATGGTAGAAGCAAAAGCCAAGAGAAACAAGATCACCAATAAAGTGATGACATGCAAAACTTTCTGCCACACAAAATTAAATCAATACGGATGAATGCATACATGTCAATAACTAAGCACAAGTGACATTAAAACAGGAAGCATACCTTGGAGATAGTCCTCCCAATAGGCTGAAGATGATAAGAATCACAACCAATGCACTGATAAACATATGAGAGCTTAAGAGGAGTGTTTTTCATTGCGCTTGCAGAACTGTAGTCAATATTTTTGTTTCAGTCAACTTGATATGGAACTACTATCTTCTATCTATAGCAATCTTAATGAAAATAAACAGGCTACCTACGTGTACACACGAACAAAGACCCGAACATAAAAGTCCATTTGGACAGACAGAACTGGAACAATGTAGCGCTTGTAGCGATTTGCATGGCTCTGCGTTAAAAAGGAAAAAAATAATAATAGAAAAAAAAAATCTCAGTTAAAGCAAGAAACTCTGGGTGCTCATCTTCCCAACAATGTGTCTACCATTTCTTCAGACCAAAATCATGTACAAAGCTTGCCAGTGCTCTACAAAAGGGAAAAAAACTCTTAGAGAGGATGAATGTACCTCAATTGAGGCAAGGAGGATCCTCAAAGCCATTTCGTGGCAGTATTTCCCTCTCAATGGGTAAGAACCGTACCTAATTCCACAAGCATTTATTAAAAGGCATGCCACCGGTCTCAGAAAAAAAAAACTGTTAACAAGAAGGTAATGACTGAGTAATCTTACTTTGAGTAACAAACCTCGCCATTGCCTCCACAAAGCACTGCCATATCAGTTGCTGTACACATCAGCATTCCACCATCAGCAACAGATTGAACTGCAGAGTCCAAAAATACTGAAGGTGACCCGTAAGGATCAAGATCAACCTGAAACAATATTAACCAATGAAGAAATAAGCAGTAGCTCTTTTGCCTTTTTCTGCTTTGACATAAACAGAAAAACTGATTGGGCTTTCTTGGAATAACTGAACTGTAATAATGAAAATAGCTAACAGCATCCTATTCTGTTCATGGTGGAATTGACATAAGACACATTGCCCAGAAAAACTACCTCTAGATGCAGAATAACAGAAAGACAAATTAAACAAGTGAAAAAAAAAAAAAAAAAATACATACCATATCAAATTCTTTTGGGTGAGTAAGCATATATACACGAGCATCAGCAAGATGTGATTCCACCTTTGAAGTTGCCACAGCACCGTTGAACTTAATATTCTTCTGGCAAGCTTCAACTGATGCTGCAGCAAAAAATGAAAGCATAAAACTCCTGATAAGCAGTTCATTATTTTGGCCATATAAAGTTGCCCAATATAATTATATCAGAGAGAATGTCTATGTTAATGAGCATTTGACATAGGAAGCAGCAGCTAGATCTATTTCTAGGCCCATTTTGTGCAAGAATGTGTGTATTTCAAAACCAAGGAACAGGCAAAGGCTTCCAGAAAGTCTAGGATTCAATATATTTACCTTTATCATTATCCAAGGCCACAACTTTACCAATCCCTTCTACCTCACGAACATATCTTAGAGCTCTTAATCCAGAAGCCGACAATGCCTGCACATCCAGAAGGAACATACTTGCAAAGTGATTTGATAATTCTATAAAATGATAAAAACAAAAAAAATAATAATAACAAATATTAATTAAGAGAGCATACAAATATATAGAAATAAGAGATCCGTATGGAACCTCAAGAACTTTTGGTGGCTTCAGCTCCCGTCGATGATTTTCCACTGTGCTCTTCACTGGTTCTTCTGATATGCTGCAAGGTTCATCCTGAGATATCTCTTCATCCACTTCGCATTCAACATTAGATTTCTTATTATCCAAAGCAGACCCATTAGATGCTTCTTCCACAGCAGGTCCAGAGGCATCCTTCTCAGATGCCTTTTCTGCTGATTTTCTTCTTTTGGACAACATTGCTACATGCTCTTCTTTGCGTTTGGAGATAAATGTCCTCAGGACAGCAATGGATAAGTCCCTGTTGTTAACCTGGCAATTATAGAGCCAAATTATGAGGATCCTCTTATTGCACAAGGCAGGCACAATATCCAGAAACAGTAAAGCAACCATCACAAAATTTTTGAACTCCGGCAAACAAAAATTAGTAAACAACATTGTCATGTGAAAATAGCAGTTGTAAAATGGTCACTGATGAGACTATCAAAACCCCACAAGTCGATTGATAATAGAGACGGCTACTTGATTACAGGTCTTTGAGAGTTTGCACTTCAATCAATTACAGCTTAGTTTTTCCATTAAAAATCATCTAAGATAAAAAATTGTAAAAGGAAAAACTGTGGACCTATTAATGTAAAACAATTATTCCCCATTCATTCACTATAAGCTAGAAAAGGCTCAGCTATGTTAAAAAAATCACTTTAACATGTACAATAAAAGATAAAGCAATACAATCATTCTCCAACAAATAAAAAAAAAAAATCTTTTCCCTTCCTAAAATATTTCATCAACCAATAAACAAAGCTCTTCAACCAAAACCAATGCCCCCATCAAAACTCCAATTCAAAACAAATCAAAAATCCAAACTTTGCATACCCAATTAAACAAAATTTACAAAAAACAAACAAACAAACAAAGGAAGGAAAAAAAAAAAAAAAGACAAGATTTTGGAACCTGGGCTTTGTTGAAAAACACTTGGTTCTTAACATTCATAAGTATCTCAGCCTCTCCTTCTTTAATAATGGTATAATCTTTCAGATCTTCGTCTGCCATTGTTCCAGTGTTTTTATGAACAAAAAACAACCTCTTGAGAAACGCAAAGAAGAGATTTTTTTATGGTTAAGAGTTCTTGAAATCAACAAGTACATACATCAAAGTTAAGCAACGAGCTTTATTTATACTTGTGAGGGTGTGTCAATATGTCTGCTCTTCAAAACTGCATGTGGATTTCCTTAAACCCTAATTTCTGACCCCAGTACACGTTAGATACGTTTTTGTGTTTTTTGCTAATGTGAGCTGGAGGGTTGTGTTTTGATTGGGTGGGATTGTTTGAATTTTTTTTCTTTTTTTTCTTTTAGGCCTTTATCTTAAAATCCAAATAATGGATGTGTTTGACTTTTACCTTAATAGGCTTTCCTTCTAGCTACGTCTAAAACTAAAAATTTGATAACCTAGGCTTTCTTAACTATAATACAACTAGTTACCGGTTTTAATTTATTCAATTTATCATTTGAAGCATTAATTAATTAAGAATCATTTTAAATTCGTGAATTAAATTATTATTCACACTCGTTTTTAAAAAAATTACAAATACACCCTCCATTAATGCATTACATAATAGTTATTGATAATTTATGAAGGATATATTGATAATTATATAGAAAAAAATGATAAGAATAATAATTTAATTGATGAATTTAATAGTACTCTTAATTAATTATGACTGTCTAGAATATATAACTAAGTATGGTTACACGTGACTTTGGAAAGCTTGCTTATTATTATTATTGTTGTTGTTATATGTGTGTGTGTGTATGTGTGTGTGTGTGTGATATCTTCATGCCAGCTTTTCACATCAATCGAAACTAAGTCCATCACTTTTTAGGTTAAATCGGTGTCGAACACACTTAGTTTTTAGTCGACCACTAGACTTCCTATTATATCGACTTAGCCAAAGTCCGGTATTACTAATGAATAAATAAGGTTGGTTATCTATGGGTAGTGAAAATTGAATCTTGTTATTGACCAAATCAAGAAAACTTTCTTACTACTAAACCATATCCCTTGGTCTTCAATACTATGTTGTAATAGTGATTTATACATTATCATGAGTTATTTGTCTTTCTAGTTTCCTCCTCAAATGGTTTTGGAAATGACAATGATTATACATAATGAATACATGGTATTAAATTAAAAACAATACCTAAAAATTTCTCAACAATGTAAGGATTTTAGGTAAATACACTTGAATTGCCAAATTATATTTTTTTAAAATGGACCTAGTGGAATAATTATTTTAACTATAGGGATCAAACTATAAAATTTTTTTAAAAAAAGACTAAAATATAATAAAAATATTCTAAAAACTCTATACAACAATATTTACAAAAAGAGAGGCTAGTCGTAAATAGATTAATTCATGTTACATATTTTTGGAGTTACAACTCCACAAATATCTTATAAGAGAAGACTAATACAACCCAAAGAAGCATTGAAAAAATATTAAATTTTTAATAAAAGGTAGTAGGCATGAAAAGCAAGTCAATCGTTGTACGATTGGCCTCTCTATAGGCATGAGACACACGGACCATTAATGGTCTTTGAAAAATTTTACGAATATAGTAAACAAGTTGATTATGAATCCTTTAGCTACCATATCTTGAATGCAACAATTGGATTGCCACTATAGAGTTAGGTTCCAACAAAACTTGTCCGAAGCCCAAATTCCATATTAACTTTAAACCAACAAGGATGCTCCATGGTCGAGTACACAAAAAAGCACATATACCTATTTGATAGGAGAAATCATATAACTAGATACCCGTACCATCATGAATGATGTTTCCTGTTATAGAAATGTCAACTCGAATTACGCAAGGCACCATCGGTATTGAGTTTGATCCAACTAGTTGGTGGCTTGGGCCAACCTCTAAGAGTTTCATGCTTAATGTCTTTCAAGCTTTATAAATAAGATACCATCCCTATTCTAGATGCAATTTAGCTAGTGTAGGAGAAAATCACATGTAAAAGATGTCTAGAATATATAAAACCTTCCTCAAACAGATTTTTGTTATGCATGACTACCACATCCGAGTAACAAGTCCCAAATCATATGCTTCGTGGTATAGCTGCGGGTGTTGACATTTGAATGCACTCGAAGGTTAGACTAAAACCAGATCCTAAAGATTCAAGACAAAGAAATAAAGATTAACTCGTGCTATGCCACAAGAACTTTAAATGGATTTAGCCAACAAACAATTTATAAGAACATATAGAATAGTTTTAGAATTAACATGACATTGGAGGCAAGATGTATCAAATGGAAGCTCACTATGGAGTTTATGTTCATTGATGAATAGTTTTCCATGTATTGCTAACAAAAAAATGATCGAATCCTTCAAGGATCCTTCCATTGCCAAATTAAGTCCTATTTTTCCATTAACATGTTATGGAAAAAAAAAAAGACATATAGTCTAATTCATGGAGAACATACCATTGCTTGTATGAGTCTAACATGGCATGTAATTAGTGTCACCTGTTTAAATAAAAGAGCATTCTTGCAATTCTATAAGAACATATAGAATAGTTTTAGAATCAACATGACACCGGGGGGTAAGATGTATCAAATGAAAGTTCAATATGGAGTCTATGTTCATTGATCGGTAGTTTTCCATGTATTGTTGACCTAAAAAATGATCGAATCCTCCAAGGATCTTTCCATTACCAAATTAAGTCCTATTTTTCCATTAAACATGTTGTGGCCAAAAAGAAGATAGACATATAGTATGATTTGGTGGAGAACATACCATTTCTTATACGAGTCTAACATGTCATGTCATTAGTGTCATTGTCTAAATAAAAAAGCATTTTTACAATTCCCAAGCAAATAGCATCGGGTAGGAATAATGTGATCCTATCCCATTTTTAATGCATATCAATAGTGATATAGCCTTTAATATGTTGTTGTCACATATTAATAGGGATGCTATGTATAGCATAATCGGATAAAGAACCCAAGTCAAACACCTAAGCATCAACCCAAAACTTGATCCATTTGTTATCTCTAATTGACCATGCAATACTACGACACACTTGCTACCATATCCATGAGAGACTTCTTCATAGTTTAGAAGAAACATTACGAGAAATGGATGTTGGTGTCGATTGAATAGAGATTTTATACTTATTACATAAAATTTGTGCTTAAAGAAATGAGTTACTCGAAATAATTTCCCATCCAATCTTCATAAGTATGGCGAGTATTCACATTTGCTAGCTTTCTTTACCCAAGGCTTTCTTTTTTCTTTAACCAACGAGACCCTATCCCATGAAATAAGGTGGATTTATAATAAGAGTTGGCCCATACAAAATTACAACATAGTTTCTCAATGGCATTAATAATAATAGTAGATAACCTAATGGTCCGCATGTTATAAATAAAATGATCGATAATACCGATTGGGTCAAAGTGACTCGACCCATGAGAAAGAGATGTCATAAGTGCCATCTAGATAATCACTTATTAACCTTATCAACCATATAGTCATAAATGGATATATTTACCCATATATGATGGAGAGGAACACTCAAATAATGACCCAAATCCTTAGTTAAGTGAAAACCAAAAAAAGAATTATGCATCATGGCTCTACCATTCAAAATATTTGTATTGTAAAAAGTTCTTGGCTTAGCCACATTGACTTTCTAACTAGAGATGGAATATAATTTATGAAAAACACCCATAATAATCCATAACTGATCATTGTCGACTTTATCATATAGAATTATATCATTAACAAAGAAAAGATAAGAAATAGGTGGTCAACTTTGCCCGGATAAATTGGCTTCCAATTACATCATAAACTTTAGTCTAGATTAACTAATTGAGCCACTCCATACATAATACAAAAAGGTAAGGTAATAGAGGCTCACCTTGCCTAATACCTCTTGAAGGATTGAAAGAGCTCATAAGCATACCATTAAAAGTAATTTAGAGGGAAGCAATATAGAGACACTTCATAATAGTTGAACACGATTGATGAGGTATCCCCATATTGATTAAGGTATCTAGTAAAAAATTCCACTAAAGTCGATTATATGCTCTCTCTAAGTCTATTTTCATAGCCATCTAACCTTTTTTGCCTTTTTTTCTCTACATGAAGTGAGTGACCTCTTGAGTAATAATGATATTATAAGTTATTTTTCTACCAAGCAAACCGACCTAAGTAGGTGCAATGATAGAAGATATAATAGGTTTTAATTGATTTACAATAACCTTTTTTAACACCTTATAAGCAACATTACATAAGTTGATGAGTGCATAATTTGTATAACTTTTATGCTCGTTTTATATTAAACTTTATAGTACTTATTATATTATATTTAGAAAATTA